CTATTCATTTGCTTCCCAGGTCTGTCACTGCTGGTGTCCGCCCTTTTGCGCTGGCCATGCAGCATTTCTATGCATTTGCTTCCCAGATCTATCACTGCTGGTGTCCGCCCTTTTCCGCTGGCCATGCAGCATTTCTATTCATTTGCTTCCCAGATCTGTCAGTGCTGGTGTCCGCCCTTTTGCGCTGGCCATGCAGCATTTCTATTCATTTGCTTCCCAGGTCTGTCACTGCTGGCGTCTGCCCTTCTCCGCTGGCCATGCAGCATTTCTATTCATTTGAGCCATGCCATAAACCCACTTGCTTGTAATGAGTAAGGGTCTTGTCATAAGAGCTGGGGGCGTAAGGGAAAAACTGCAGTGCGTAAGGTTGCGTAAGCTTTTTGTACCGCGTAAGTTTTTGTGTCTGTTGTTTTGCAGTTCGCATTTGATGTGAGATCAGATTTGGTTGAGGAGGTCTGCTGTGTTTACTAGAAACAGGAACCTCACAAGAATCGAGGAGAGTCACAGCACGTTCCGCGTGCGGCGCGCGTAAGCTCCGCGTAGGCAGCGTGTAAGTCTCATGCGCGTCCGTGAGTAGTAGCCCACATGGCTCCCAAACCCAAAGCCTTTGGCCAACACTGGCCCGAAAATGTACACTTCAGCCAAGCATCCGCTCTGCTCATATAAGGCCAACGCAAAACAGGTCCATAGAGGAGAAGTTCTTGGACCCTTGGCGGTGTCCATGAGGTTTGGTGGCCACATGACGTCGCTGCGCCATGCGGTTTTGCGCGGCCTCGTGAGTCCGTGCCACTGCGGAAAGGAACGGATGCTTCTGCAAGTAGCAACTCTGAAGCCTTATCGTTGTACAAAGCAGGTCGCGTAAGCGTGTTTGCAGTGGACTCGCAAAAGTCTGCGAAGTCTGGCTGCGTAAGGGTTGCGTAAGCACCCTCTTACGACATAGGAATCTATCAAGGATTCCAGCACAGCTCACTTGCTTCCCAGGTCTGTCACAGCTGGTGTCCGCCCTTTTGCGCTGGCCATGCAGCATTTCTATTCATTTGCTTCCCAGATCTGTCACTGCTGGTGTCCGCCCTTTTGCGCTGGCCACGCGGCATTTCTATTCATTTGCTTCTCAGATCTGCCACTGCTGGTGTCCGCCCTTTTGCGCTGGCCATGCAGCATTTTTACTCATTTGCTTCCCAGATCTGTCACTGCTGGTGTCCGCCCTTTTGCGCTGGCCACGCGTCATTTCTATTCATTTGCTTCCCAGATCTGTCACTGCTGGTGTCCGCCCTTTTGCGCTGGCCACGCGTCATTTCTATTCATTTGCTTCCCAGATCTGTCACTGCTGGCGTCCGCCCTTTTGCGCTGGCCATGCAGCATTTCTATTCATTTGCTTCCCAGGTCTGTCACTGCTGGTGTCCGCCCTTTTGCGCTGGCCACGCGGCATTTCTATTCATTTGTCTCCCAGGTCTGTCACTGCTGGCGTCCGCCCTTTTCCACTGACAAATCCTTTGTCTCCCAGCTTTGGACGTCGCAAACTCTGGTTGCAGAGTGTTCCGATTTTGAAAAACACAAGCTGTCTGGGTTCTACGGTCCACGGTGGTATAATTCAAGCCAGTGAAGTGCAGGTGGAACCTCGAATGCCTGCCTTGTGCAGCGGTGGTTTGGGCATGCGAGGTGCGGACGTGTTTCTCGGCAACGGAAGATGATCGCTTCTACAGTACTGTTGTTTTTTTGTGCAGCTGCGCCGGAGCTGTGCCAAAGGGATTGAGAGTGCAGCTGCCCTTGCCGGGTCATCTGAGGCTCGCTGCGAAGGCGGATGCCGTGAGTTTTGAAGATGAAGCACCTGCAGAGCGCTGGGAGCGTTTCAGACGTGCCTTTGGCAGCATCCGATCCATGACACAATCTGAACGATGCTCTTTCACAGGCCTTAGCCTACAATGTGAGTAGTTTTTGGAGGGTGGCGTGGCCGCACTCTGTTGCCAGCGAGATAGGTTTTGTATGGTTTTGTATATTTTGCATGCTCAAGATCTTTGGCTCAAGGTGTTGACCCTAGGCACTTGGGCCCTTATAGGGTTGACCCTATAGCATACGATCTTTGACCCTAGGCACTAATTATTCTGGAACTGAGTTCATCGTATGCTGGTGGCTGTCAAGCCAGGCAGGAAGTGGTGACCATCAAGAATCATGAATGGCAAGGACAATCAAATGTTGAAAGAACAGTTCACACTAATAAGATGTCACACGTGTTGGAGATTTCAACTCCAGTTCGCAATAGTTCGCATGTGTTCAGCTGGGTGGGCTCTCACTTGAGCCAATGGACTTGCTAGTGATGCAAGCACAGAGTGTCCAGTCGTCTTCTTTGGATGCAAACAACTTGGAACTGGCACAGAAGTTGCTTGGACTCAAAGATGCCAAGATCCAGGCGTTGCAAGACCAACTCTGGGCCGCTGAAGAAGAAAACAAGCTGCTCAGACAACAACTAGCTCCTCACGGCTTTCCGCTGCTCAAAGTTATGCCCAGCAGTGAAAAGAAGAGGTGCCACCTTCTGTTTCTTTTTTTTTTCCACTGGCATACACGCTATCTTTATACGATGCAGCGTCTGTGATAAACCGTGAGTGCTGGAATAGCAAAGCAAGATAAGTTTTTTCGATTCCCGACAAGAGGGTGTGCCAAAGTGGTATCTATGTGAAAGTGGACAGGAACAGTCTGATTCAGCTTGGATGTTCTTTGATCTATATTTGATTTCGTGCGCAGGGATTGACATTGTGACAGGCGCCTGGAGTTCCCGCCAGCCCAGCGGCCGGTTCAGGGAAAGATGCGTTGGGACGTCCTTGCACGTGGAGCATTGCTGAAACTGATCTTGGTCTTTCTAAAGCCACAATCCTGTTTCTTGGGTCAGACAGCTAATCTTAAAGATTTCAAGTTGTCCTTTCTTCTTGCCACCCACAGGGTCCAAGAGTGTTTTGGGTATTTGGCTCATGCAGGAATTCTCGAGTCAAAGCAGTGAGGTTTGGGATTGTTGGCCGCATCTAAGAAGGCGCAGGAGGACTTTCACAAAAGTTGGTCGCGGGAACTTGATCTGAAGGACTTCCGCTCGCGTGGAGGTTTACAATCCTTCCACAAGTTTCTAGGGAGGCCAATCTGGAAAGAAGCGCAGACCTTACGAATGCCAAAAGATGCCCGTCTTGGTCTGTCTTATAGATGGCCAAACAGCAGTATGTCTCTCATTGAAAAGTGCTTCCCTGACTTGCAAGAATTGGATTTGTCCTTTGGTGGTGGCCTTTTTGGTGGTGGCCTGGTGAAATGGCTTGAGGAGTCCTCCACACGGTTGCACTTCTCACAAAGCTTTGCCAAGCTCACCAGCTTGAAGCTTCATGTCTATGATTTCCAGGAAGCTGACATGTTGGTGTCATTGACGAAGCTGCGCAGACTCCATTTAGGGTTGCTTGGAACATCTTACGAGATCTTGTGAGATTGTACATGATTGTATGGTACCGGTACTGTCTCAATGCCAAACTCATCCTCCGAAGCTTTTCTTCAATGTTGCTTGGTGTTAGCGCTCAGAGTAGTGCTGAGGTTTGAGCAGTCTAAAATACGGGTGTTCATGTTTGAATGTTCTTTGTGTGACCTCATCGCACTTAAGGCTCCCTTATTGTGGTCCATTCCGGCGAAGAGGCACTGCTCCCATGCTCTTTGGCTACCTTCTTCAGCTGTTGGCGCTCGAAGACCTTCAGCTGTTTGGTCATCGATCAGCCTTTTCAAAGGCCAATGATGGCCATCTCATCCTTGGAAATATCACCAACGAGCTCAAGCAGCTGCTGGCTAGCTGCAGCAGGTTACGGAAGTTGGAAATTGTTCCGTGCGTGGGACTTTCAGAGGAGGTCTTTGCAGTTCTTTGTTCTGGAAAGAATCTGGAACAGATTGCACTTTATGCCCCTCCTTCCATGAACTTGCAGAGCTTGCCAATGCTTTGCAAGTGTACTTCGCTGCGCCACTTGCGATTGGCACGAGAGGGCGGTTTTGAAGAAAGCGTACCTCCATTAAAAGGTATCAAAGTTGACCTCGATGCCCTTGTGGATCCAAATTTTTTTCATTCTGAAACTGTCTTGAGATAGTTGACACATATGAAACCATAATGTCAACTCGTGTGAGAAGAAGCGGCCAATGCAAGCCAGGCTTCTGAAGAGAGATGGCAGAATAAAAGCAACTGATTCTCTTTTTGGCGAGATTGGTTTCTCCATGTTTCTCCGCTGCCGTGGATGGGATTCACGAGTGGGGATCACCTCGAATTGCATCATCCACCAACTCGGCTAGGAAGCACTTAGAATTTGATGTTCTTGAGAACTTGAGGATTATGTTTTTTCCTATGGATTCTGAGCTTGGCAGAATAAACACGATTCCTACGGCAAATCATTACCTTCTCCAATCAATTGCCTTGGTTTAGAATGAGGGAAGAAGAATTTGATGCTCAGGCTTCAAACACATCACCATGGATCAAACAATACCACCTGGTGCCCGTGCGACTGGAACTGAACGACGACATTCTAAAATTATTCTTATCATATTATATAAGAAACAATTTGTATATGAATGGTTAATTAATATAATTAATACATATTGTATATATGGCGTTGATATTGGATATATATAATTCTATTGTTTTTTTAATATGGGATATATAAAAATCGATATATATATTTTGATATATTTTTATATTATATTTTGATATATGATATAATTAATTTGATAATATTATTAATTTTAATGAATAATAAATCGTGGAATAATTTTTGTTTATTTAAAATATTTATTGATTCGAATAAATATAAATATTGTTTAATAAATAAAATGAGGATTATTTTTAGTTCGAATTAAACATTTATATAGATGTAATTTCGGTTTTTTGTTTTAAATTAAGAACAACTAGCATTAATTTGTTGGAATTGTTCTGCTTTTGCATTAATTAGTTGGAATTGTTTTTGCTTTAGGAAATTAAGGATTCGTAGCCTCGAGAATTATACATTATGGGAAAACTTCACGTGTAGGGCCTCCTCGTCTCGCTTCCGCGGGTGCAACTCCCCCCTGGGACGCTTCTGGTACGCGTACGTGCTATAGTGCTATGTTTAGGTGGCAGGTGCACTAGGCCATTGTTTGAGTTTGGAGGGGGGCATGAAACATGAAATTTACGCGAGGATTCAAGGCTTTAATGATGAGCATCACGGGAAATTAGAAACCAGGTATATTAGATACACGTGCTTTTGAGTTTCGTTCGGCTTCTTAGTGCATATGGCTGACACTTTATTCGACAAAGATGTTAAAACAAACATACATAAACCAGGTGTATCTGATACGCCTGGTTTGTGACTTCCCGTGATGCTTATGATATTGCATTGCTTTTCTTCAATCCCTTATTACATATACATGACGATCCAACAGCAGATTTAATAAACTCCCATATTCATGATATCGACATCGATAGAAGAGATTAAACAAATCATGCGAACAACTTTGTTTTGCTTCTGGGATACCTCTTGGGCACCTCTTATGGCATCCACACTGGTTCAACTCCTCCGTGGAGATTTTGGGATACGGTGCAACAGATTCATTAAGCTCATAGGTTCGTAAACACATCGGATGCATCGAACAGTGTGGCAAAGTCCAGCCACACTTCCTTAATTATCGGGGACTTCAATTCTAAGGTTGGCTGTGTCATTGCTGTTTGTGTGTGTCTTATATGTTCACAAGATTTTACCTCATGAGCATTTGCCTCACTCCGCTTGATGTCCCACCAGTCCGGATGCACCCCTGCTAGCTTTCGTCACCTACCCTCGGCCTCAAGTATTTTGTAATAAGAATTATTGAAATATGTGTTTTTAATACTAGGGACATTGCATTTTGGAATAAATATATCATTCTTGCAATGCTTGGCCCGAGGATTGCTCGGATTATTTCGGATTCGAAGGCAAATGGTTTAATTTTGGTAGATGTAATGCACGAGGTCGTATATAATGCGGATAAAGAGGGTATATTGTTGTATTTTGAAATTTGGGATTATGGCGATTTAAAGATGTATGTCGATATTTTCTTGCTAGAAGATTGAAGATCAAGCAATCTATTTAATTGTAAGGCCTTTATTGCATATCTTGGAATGTATTTAGATCTTTGGTTTATGGCTGCTTGATATTATATTTTCATTGCAAATAAATAGATATCTCTTTTCATGTTGATTACATCAGCGGATTACATCTGCGGTGCACATTGCTGGACATTTTCTCCAAATAGGCCTATTTCTGGATCGTATGTATAATTTTTTAATCTTTTTGGAATATTGGAAAGGGCATATGATCATTATTGCAACGACGATTGATTCTTTGAGGATTGTTTGAATTATATATTCCTAAGGTCATTATTTTATTGTATTGGGTGATTTCAATACCACTTTGAATTTGGATCCCCCATTCGTCGGCAGTGCTGATCCGAAAGGTAAAGGCTTACAACATACCGATAACCCCATCCTGCAACAATTGCTTCGTGACCAGGACCTTGTGGCATTGCACTGTAAGAATGGATATTGTCATATTTTTTGTCATGGCACCCATGCTTCACAGATAGATTATATCCTGATGAGGTAGCATTAGATACAATACCGTCGTATACAACCACGTGTTGACACCCGATTTGAGAGGAGCTTTGGACATCATGGACCTCATCACCATCCGTTGTTTGTGACCCTCCCAAAATGGTTTTCAATTCGGACGAAACCACATCCCATGCATCGGATTGATAGATTTGCTGTTAGGCATATATTCTGTTCTCAATCTAATGTTTCGCATGGTTTTGAGGCCGGTTTCGGTGCTGTACTTCAACAACATCAATCAGGGTTCCAGCAAGATCCTGAGGACCAAATGTTGATTCTGGAACGTCAGATTAGGGATTTATGCATTGCATTCTTTCCCAAACGATTTCAACACCCTTCGATGCCGACCCAGATTCCTTCCCTCTCCTCCAGGATGTGGCATGCACGAAGGGAAGCCCTTCGTGTTCGAGGCCACAGCGGGCTCTGTTTAGCTGCTAGAAATATCTCATTAAATATTACATCTGTCCCAAGTTGATTAGGAAGCATAATCGGACCAACAAATATTTCAAACTAGCACGGGTACTTTCGGAAGGTGCAGACCTTGCGCTTCAGGGGCAATCCTTCGAATGGTTCAAGAGTTTTGTCCAAAGCAACCACACAGACGAATTCAGTTGCACAATTCCCATGGCATGCCCCTCAATCCCCCATAAAAGGTTCAGATCATTGAGCAATACTACATTGAATTGCACTCTAATCCCTCCCTACCGGATTTTGGACTTGTCCTTTGATCCAATTGCCTTTCGACTGCCAGGATGTGAGGGATGAATTGAAAGCCATGCCCAGCATGAAGGCATTAGCGCCGGACGGGTTTCCTGCCTTTGTCTGGAAAAACTTTGCCGATGATCTTGCACCATACATTCAGGCCACATTTGAACACTATTGGATGCGAGAAAAAAATTCGTCCTCCCTCCCATTGGATGATTGATTGGATTCACCTTCTTCCTAAACCCAATACGACTCCTTCCGAACCCCAAGCACTTCGACCGATCTGTCTTCAACACCCTGTGAGTAAGGTCATTGCCGGCATTCAATGTATATTAATCATGTGACAGGCATTTCCCATTTGTGGCAGCTTCTGCTGTATGTTTACTTGCCCAATCGTGGGACCAGAGATTGCCTCTTGATTGTATCGGATCACTGCCGATAGGTGGGATATATGTGTCATAACTTTAGATCGCGAGTTGATGCCCCAAATCTCATTGGTGGATTGCAGGTTTCGTTAGACATGGAAAAGGCTTTTGACACTGTTTCAAGACCTTTGGTTCTCCGGGCACTTGAACAGTTTCGTTTGAACCCTAACTTGCTACGTTTGGTGCACTCCTGGTTGATTCCTCATTAATATTATATTCCTTTTAAACAGTTGATTGGCCATGTGACCGCATGCCGGGGCATCAACAAGGGCTCCAATGATGCTCCTCTCCTGTGGATTCTTGTGATGAATTTCATACTGTTGGACATCCAAGCCCGGTTTTAGTTCGAACGGCTTCGTGACCATATTGTTGTTTACGCCGACGACGTGCATCTTAGATGGGTGATTCGTTCCCTTCCACAGGCGCTTAATGCCCTCTCTGAATTCCAACATATCTTGGATGTTTTTCGTGCTTTTGGGCTACAGATTAATATGCAGAAGAATGTTGCTTTGATGCGTCTGGTCGGCCGCGAAACTCCTGGGTTCTTGCGCAAATGGGTACATCGACAGAAGGATTGCCCTTTTCTGCAACTGCCAGAACGTCATTGGCGCCTGCCTCTGGTCTCGAAAATAATATACTTAGGTATAATCGTCAACTACAAAGCTTTTGACTTTGATACTACGGTCAGACGTATCATTGCTGCACAATGGTGTTTTCGCAAGATTAGATCATGGCTCATTAATGATGTTCATCCATTCCCCACTAGAATAGATTTTACCGACAGTGTGTCTTAGCCACAGTAAGCTATGGCATTCATGAAATGGGCATCATCCGCACAAATCTCTTTCGATTGATCAACATGATGAACGCCCATCATTGCATCATAACTAAGTCTCCTGTTTGCCTTACCCATGAATCCATCTGGAGCTTTTTTGATCGTCTTCAAATCCCACCTCCGTGGATATAGCTTCAAAGACAACAAACCAGAATACAACAGGCATGATCGTGCTGCTCGTTTTCGATCTGAAGCCATTACTGAAGATGCGCCTGATGTCTGTATTAGCATCCCAGCCTTATGATCTAATGACCTTACACTTCCCACGAACTTACCGGACTCCCACACGGCCCAGGAAATTGCGCTCACTCATTTGTTGATTTTTACCGGTTGCGTGATCATATAAACAAAAGAACGTGTTTTTATTTCAATGCCGCACAGGAGTCGATCACGCGCCTATCGTTGCCAGACCCGACCTGCGGATGCATCTCCGCCACAAGTCAATTCCTGGTTTGGTTCTCAACAATGCATTGCGCATTCTGTCAGTCAGATTGCATCCCAATCGGTTCATAAATACCCAAAAATCAGCGCCCGCAGCTTGTCCAGCATGCCGAGCATTACAAAGATCATATCCATGATCTAGCCAACATTGGTAGTGG